CCTTATCTGTAACTCTATCTCTTAAATCTTTTCTCTGTGTCACTTAACTCTGCTGCCAGGACCTTCTGTTCCACCCGTGGGAATTTGGCACACAGTTCTGAGCCCCACCCCACAGTCTGCCATGAGAAAAGGGTGGTGGACTAGCTGCAGAAATACATTTCTGCCACTGCCACTACCATTGCTGCTCACACTGTTCAAATGCCTCAGCTTATCCATTCCTTATCTTCTGCCATCTTAAATAAGGACAACCATATGTTTAGGCAGTGCCATCTTAAATAAGGGCAACCACATGGTAAGCTGCCATATGTGATAAGGGTAGCCATGTGGGAAAGCACCATCTTTAATGAGGGCAACCACATGGTCAAGACATCTTAGCTAAGGTCAAAACAGACAGGTCATATGACCTCACCACCACCTTTACTAGGGGCAGCACGGGTGGGGGAGAGGTTCAGTGGAAGGTTGATGTTAGTTGTCCACAGCTGCTCATGTGGGTGAGGACAGCATACCCCTATGCTAGGATAGAGTAGCAGTACTAATACTTAAGATTTTAAATTTCAGATTTTAACATTAATACAATTCTGATACTATTTGAGTCTACAGCTACTTTTTAGAGGACCCATCCCTGCTCCAATTCAGGAGTCTTTCTCATATGTCTATTGCTGAGAATGACATTTTTCTCTCCCAGTCTCCACTTACCAAAACTACAGGCTTGAAATCTCCAAATCAATTCATAAATTTTAACTCCCATCTCTAGTCTATATTCCAGCAGGCTGGCAGAAACATCAAAACAGCAGTTGTGGACCAGCAGAGATTCTTGTCTAAGTGATGTGGTCTAGCCCAGCCAAATGTGATTGTCACCTGCCTCAGGAGCCAGGTCAGACAACCACATGCTTCTGACAAATGCTCCAATGCCCAGCCTTGGACTAAGCCTTTCTGCCTTTTTTGGAGCCCTGACAACACAATGCCCCAACACCACCTCTACGCAGTTCCAGAAGAGAATTCATCACTCCATTTTTCCTGTCCAGAATAGGCTGAAATGCTGGGTCAAAAGGAAACCCGTGGCATAGAGGACTGATTGGCTAGGAAATTATTATTTCTATATAATTCATTCAGAAAAGAGTTTCTGGTCCACCAAGAGGGTCCTTTTCTCAGAGTTGGGCTGCATCCTCACTCACAAGCCCCTTTTCTCCTGTTCTCGTTTGGCCTTGGGATCTTTCCTGTCACTCTTCTTTGCTTTCTCAAGCGACAGTAAGTCCTCGCCTTATGGAAGCTGCTAAGATATAGGGGATTTAGAGAATACTAGCTGACAGTCAGCCATTCATAACTAATAGACAGGCAGTCCTCAAATGCTCAGAAATCTGAAGAATATGGCATTTAAAATGCTAATTTAAAAAAAGCTTATTATATCAGACACAGACTCCCAGATTCTGACAGTGACCCAAGGTCTCCAAAGATGTTTCCATCTGGATAATGGCAACACAGACTTTTGGGCAAGTTGCTCAAATGCAGTACCTGCTGCTAGGACCTGGCCCAGATTGTGAACAAACAGGACCCCCTTTTGCCTAGACAAAATAAGGTCAGTCTTCCCTATGTCCCTCTTCCATGGGGAAGCTTCCACCTCATGGTCCTGGTGGGTAGAAGATTGATGCTGTTCTGATACTTCTGCCAACGACATGGAGACCTGGGTATGGTTAACTGAGTTTGGACTGGTCACTGTCATTTTTAACAAATTTGAAAGCTGCTTGGTCTGCACTCAGATATGACTTATCCCCATTTGACATTTATCCTCTGATTCCATTTGACAACCAGGCATTTTACAGATGACAGTAATCTGAAAATGCCCAGCATACCATCATGGTTTGCTGCACTCTCAGGGTACCCTCAGGATCCCCATGTAATATATCATAATGCATATCACAATGCAGCAGGGTGACAAAAAAAGCATATTAGAGATTGTCACCTGTGGATAAACAAAAAAAAAATTTGACACAGGGTTTCATACAACATAGCCTTGACTGTCCCAGAACTGCTAAGTAGACATGACCATAAATACTTTAGGATTTTAAGGGGAGATGACTAGCTGCAGCTACTCTGGAGGCTGCTTCCAGAAAGGTTGCTTGTGTCCAGGGATTCGATGATAGCTTATACAACACAGGAAGGCCTTTGGTTTTAAAAAATATCTAAGTGGTGGTGTAGGGGTGTGCATATGCCATAGTGCAAGTGGAGCTAGAAGTCAGAGAAAAACTTGTGGGAGTCCTCAGGGCTTCTTGCTGAACTCAATTCATCAGGCTTAGTAGCAACCACTATTACCATTGAGTCATCTCTGTGCCGATCATTTTGTTTCTGAGACAATGTTTATGAGAGTGTTATGAACAAGGGTGTACATTTGCTCTTCAGAATTAACATGAACCCAAACACAATGTGGATGACTATCATTTCACTTGCAAATAGTTATATTATTTCAATTGGCCCATATTCTCATACGTTTAGGTTAAAACACTGTTTACCATTTTAAACCTTTATTGATACAATATTATTACAAAACTTATATCTTCACCAGTGAGATGGTACAAAGGGAAAAATATGTGAGGCGTGCAAGGCTAGTAACTTGAACATTATCACAGAAACCATGTAACCAGGACAGAGAAAATACTCAAAAAATATGTCGTCTGGTTTTCACATATCTGTCATGGCCTACATGCCCATAACCACATCACAGACATGTTTGTTTAGAAAGAAATCTTTTTGCAGTTAGATTTTCTGGTATCTCAAGTCAATTTCTTGAGGAAGTAATACTTCATCTAATCATAACATAATACAGGATGGAACAACATATATATCTGTCTACCTCAGTCTATGTGATGAGATATGCATAAACAATTGAGTGCTACCTATCTTACTTTACTACATTTCTACCATAAAGATGAAAATGCTGTGTTACATACACACATGGTATTCAATGTTTCTGATATTCTCTTCTATTAATCATTTAAAAAGTGACATTATTGAAATATGTGGACTGAATAGAAAACATAAGGCATACATTGTCTATCCAAGTTCTCAGAAGGCAGATACATGGGATCATAAGTTCAAATGTAGCCCTGTTAATTACTGAAAACCAAGAAGGCTAGATTACAAAGAAGACCATCATAAGGAAATTTGTGTGAATATGAAAAACAAAATCAATAACAATATACCACTCTTCAAGAAATTACTACTTGACAAGTTGTCATTCTTAACTACCTAATATTCAAATACATAATCAGTGGACTATTTGATGGGCAACCCAAGTCTATACATTGTAGCAGAAAAGTAACTATCACCAAATAAACACAATAGCAGAGTAAAATAAACCACAGAATGAATGTAAGGCCCTCCAAATAAAATTCAATAAGGCACTTGCCACACATTCTGAAGACTTCTATTGCTAATCTATAAATTTCAAAGTACAGTCCATAATGCAGTGATTTCTACTATAAGACTTGAGTGAAGATGGTATAATATTTACTTCCTTCAAAGCACTGATGAAAAGGAAACAAAGGAAGAATTACTCTTGGAATTGGAGACAATTGTGGTATTTTATGTCTTTAACAAGTTGTTTACATGAATAGGGCACTTCTTGCATGAATTTTTCCCTATTTCCTGATATCAAGATGATATACAAAGGTATTAACCTACTATTTATGGAGATAGAGAGATTGCTCTTTTGATAACAAAAGTTCCTTCCCAGCATCCAGGACAGGTAGTTGGCAATATCCTCTAATTCTTGGTAGAAGATAATCTGATGCACCTTGGGCCACAACAAAAACATGCATATGCTCACATGTAGACTCAATGATATAACATAACTAAAGTAAAAAAAAATTTAATCAAACATAATTTCTATTCATAACTCTCTCTAGGTGAATGATTCATTCATGTTGCAGTATCCAAAGGCTTACCTATGGAATTTTGCTTCATCGTTAATCAGTAGCTGGAACAGAATGCAGAAACATTGGCAAACATGTTTTTACATGTTGTTTTCACTGAGTTTCCAGTATTTCTCTCACGGCTTTGATGGTGACAGAGATACAGGAGGGCAATGCTACTCTGTTAATATATGTGGTTATAATAAGAAATATCCTCCATGCTTTCAGGCATTTGAACATTGGGGTCCAGTGGTGGGGACAGGCTTAAAAAGTGCCACATGGATGGAGGAAACATGCCACTGGGATTGTGTTCTAGGGTTTAAAGCTTCACTCCCCATGCAGTTCCCACTCTCTCATTCATGCTTTCAGGTTGATGATGTGAGCTCTCAGGTGCCCTGTCATGATGAACTCTTCCTCGGGAACCATAAGCCAAAATAAACTCTTCTATAATTTGCTTTAAACATTTTGTTTTCACACAGCAACAGAAAAGGACCTAATACACACAGTATGTCTGGGTATTTTCATGTGATTGAAGAGAAGTCTGGTATCTAAAAGGTTTACCTTATTGTTCAAATATATAATGTTTTGCTCTATGCTAAGCGCATCTATGGCTATAAAAGATTCGGAAAGATCTTCAGTCAGCAACCCTCTGCTCTGTTCAGTTACACAAAATTATTCTGAAATAAAAAAAATTCTTATGTGAACAATATGTTCAAGCATTGTTATGCCCTTCTTCACTTTCTTTACACCTACAAATTCATATAGAGAAAAGCCTTATGGATTTAAAAATTTAGGTAAACTTTAAGCTATCAGACTTTGATCATATGAATATTGAAGAGTGTCAGTATTCCAATGGATTTAAAGTGACTATTTTGCAAGAAATTTACCACTTTGATTATACTCTTAGGTCTTCTATCTAGTGTGCATTATTTCATGATAGTGAAGTTGACTGGTACGTATAAAGGCTTTATCACACTGATTACATTTGAAGGGCTTCTCTCCAGTATGTTTTATTTTATGTATGTGCAGACTACAGTGATGTTTAAAGACTTTCCCACATTCATTACATTCATAGGAGTTTCTCTCCATTATTCAATGGAGTTTCTCTCCATTATGAATTTTTTCATGTGCTTTAAGATTACTGGGATGTGCAAAGCCTTTACCACAGTGATTACATTCATAGGGTTTCTCTCCAGTATGAATTGTTTCATGCATTTTCAGATTACTGTCGTGTGTAAAGGCTTTACCACATTGTTTACATTCATAAGGTTTCTCTCCAGTATGAGTTCTTTCATGTCTTTGAAGATGACTTTTACGTGCAAAAACTTTATCACATTGACTACATTCATAGGGTTTCTCTCCATTATGAATTGCTTCATGCATTTTCAGATTACTGTCACGTGTAAAGGCTTTACCACATTGTTTACATTCATAAGGTTTCTCTCCAGTATGTGTTCTTTCATGTCTATGAAGATTATTTTTATGTACAAAAACTTTATCACATTGATTACATTCATAGGGTTTCTCTCCAGTATGAATTCTTTCATGTATTTTCAAATAACTGTGATATGCAAAGGCTTTACCACACTGATTACATTCATAGGGTTTCTCTCCTGTATGAATTTTCTCATGCATTTTCAGATTACTGTCATGTGTGAAGGCTTTCCCACATTGCTTACATTCACAGGGTTTCTCTCCAGTATGAGTTCTTTCATGCCTTTGAAGATGACTGCTACATAAAAAGACCTTATCACATTGATTACATTTGTAAGGTTTTTGTCCAGTATGAATTCTTTCATGTATTTTCAGAGTACGGTGAAAAGTAAAGAGTACACCACATTGATTACATTTATAAGGTTTCTCTCCAGTGTGAATTGTCTCATGCCTCTGAAGATTAACAAGACGTGTAAAAGCTTTACCACATTGCTTACATTCATAGGACTTCTCTACAGTATGAATTCTTTCATGTATTTTCAAATAGCTGTGATATGCAAAGGCTTTAATACATTGATTACATTCATAGGGTTTCTCTCCAGTATGAATTTTTTCATGCATTTTCAGAAGGCTGTGACATGTGAAGGCTTCCCCACATTGCTTACATTCATATTGTTTCTGTGCAGAATTACTTCTTTTCTGCCTGTGAAGAAACTTGGCATGAGTAAAACCTTTACTAAATTAATTACACTGATGCACCTTTTGTCTTTTTAACTCTACCATACAATTGAGAAGTTTGGTATGTTAAAAATTTACCACATAGTTTATATTCATAAGTTTTTAACTTCCATATACATTCTTTACTGTAATTGTAAAGAGGAATCAGAACTAAAGGCATTATTAAGTTGTTAGCATTATAGTGTTCAAGTTCAATATGGGTTCTTTTATGTGTTTGAAGATACCTGTGGTGCTCATTTATTGGATCCTTTCCCCATATGAGTTTCCTTCCATTTTTGAAGAAAATGGAAGGACTGAGTTTAATAACACTTACTGCATTCATAATATTTTCCTATAAAATAAATCATAATATATATTCAATGTGAACCAGGACAAACAACAGTTTCCACAATTCTTATACTCTGATGGATTTTCTCCACTGTGAGTTTGTTGATTAATTTACAATAAAGTTAGGAAACAAAATTATTGTAAAGTTGTATCACAGTCAACAAGTCTATAATGGGGACTACTACACATCTTCTAAATGATCTGGGAGAGATAAGTACATTATTTCTATCAATACCCTTTGGCTCACATGGCTTATGTCCATACTGGCATATGATATACCTATGAAAAAATAACAAACAGAAGGTTTTCACATTGTATTTACAATGTTCAGTCTCATTCCTCATATAGAAGTGGTATAGAGATTGAAATTTCTCCACAACAACAACCCTTTTGACTCGTGTAAACTTCCCCCTCGCTGTATTTGGAACTCACTGCAAAAGTAGGAGTAACACTAGCTTTTTAATGGACTATTTCCTTCATGGAATTTCTTGGACATACACTGATCACCTAGTCAACATGTAAGGTCTTCGCAATGCCTGAATGGTATGAAACCAAAACAATTGACAGATCTGCAACATGACATTAACATGGTGTAATAAAATGGTGATATCTGTTAAGTCATTATTTCTATTTCTTGTTTCTAACAGGAATGCTTTGCAAGCATGGATCAGTTATCTGACATTGAAACAAATAGTGTTGTGAGAATTTAATAATCAAGACACTTAAAGCTACTTTTATTTTTTCCCTTGCTTTTCATTAGAACTTTCAGGGCACATAAACATTACTTCAGCGACACATTTGCATCAGCTTTCACATGTATATTACCTTGTATGTCTTCTAAAATGTTGACAATATTCCTCAATACTCTGGTTTTCCCATTTGTAGCCTAAAATATAGCAACAGAAAATGTATGATATATTATTGGAAAATGAGCAAAATATATTATCCTTGGAGGACCTTAGAAACATGCCTGATTTACTTACATTTTTTTCTCTTTCACAAACAACATCACAAAAAAGCATCAACAACCAAAAAACACTTGTCCACTTATTATAACAATTAAAGAAAAACTCAGTCTTACCTATAGCAGTGAGGTTCCTGTAGGTTTCTACCATCACATCTTTGTAGAGATTCTTCTGGGAAGGATCCAGCAAAGCCCACTCTTCCCTAGTGAAGTTCACATGCACATCCTCATAGGTCACTGCATCCTAAAATATTCCATAAGTATGTATTACAGAAATCATGATACTGACAGCATTGAAAATGTTTTCTTCATTGACTATATATTCAAATAATTCTGTGTGTTTCCTACATTTCCATGAAACAGAAGTT